GCACGTACACCCGCGACGCCGCGACGCACATTTGGCCCGTGCGGGTAAGGATACCGTTGCTGGTCCACGTGACGGCATTGTCGATGTTGGCGTCTCCAAAGACCACGGCGGGGCTTTTGCCTCCTGGAATAGTAACAAACAGGGGTCAACGTTGTAATTTCGAAGAGAGAGAGGGGGGTGGAAAGAACACTAGGCTTACCCAACTCCAAAGTCACTCTTTTCAGATTACTCTCAGCAGCCAAGATCTGGATCTTCTTCCCCGTGGGGACCGACCCCGTGAACGAGACCTTGCGGACGCGCATGTGGGAGGCCAAGAGGGCGCCGGTGCTGCCAGGACCGGTGAGGACCTGGACGACGCCGTCGGGGATGCCGGCGAGTTTGAACAGGGGCGCTATGGCCAGCGAGCCGAGAGGTGTCTTCTCGGACGGTTTGATGATGATGACGTTGCCGGTCGCGAGGGCTGGACCGACCTTGAGGATCATGGTCGAGACGGGGCCGTTGAACGGGCAGATGCCCACGCAGACACTGTGGGCGGGTTGTTATTAGCCATTGTCTTTTTTTTTTTTTCCTCGATTCAAGTGACGCCAGTCAAGGTTGCATGCGGCATACGTACCCCAGGGGTTCATGGCGGACCAGTTTAACGAAGCCGTCGTCGGCAGGGAAATAGTCGCCGTTCTGTTTATCGCACCAGCCGGCTATAGAGACACATGATGAGAAATGAATCAAAAATTTTCTTGGACAGCTCCCTTTCCTCACAGGTATCCAAAGCAGCGCAGCCGCAGCCACAAGGACATCATTTTATATGGGTGGTCGGTTGGTGTAGGTAGGCAGGAAACGTACCAAAATACCGCAACGTGTTCACAATGTAATTCTTTTCACGCTTCGGGATCAGCGAGATGGGCACGCCCGACGACAGCGAGTCCAGCCGCAGGATGTCCTCGAGATGCTCCTCCACCAGGTCGGCCAGGCGGTTGATGAGCTGGCTGCGCTGCAGCGACGTGATGCGGCTCCATTCGCCGTTGAAGGCGGCCTCGGCGTGCTTGACGGCGCGGTCGACGTCGTCGCGCCCGGCGACGGGGATGTGCTCGGTCACGACGGACCCGTCGGTAGGGTTGAGGAGGGTGAGTGTCGCGGGCTCGCTCGACGGCACGTACTCGCCGTTGATGTAGTGGTGTCTCAGGTCCGCGACCGCGGGGACTTTGTAAGTGGTCGCCATGGCTTGTAAATTAAATTTCTCTATTGATGGGAGTCAGGGGGCTGGTGTGTTTGCTTCAGGGGGTTTCTTGGTACTGCTACACTGTAGGTAGGTACTGACTGGTATAGGTATAGGTAAGAGGTTACTGGTTACAAGACCCCCCCTAAGCAACTCGCCCGCATTCACTTCACCATTTGCTCGAGAGAAAGGGACCACAAGCCCCAAGGAGAGACAACATACACAAATACAAGCCCATATTTTCCCTCCCCATCCCCCGCTTCCACCACCTACCCATCCACGCCCCTAGGTAAAGAACTCGCAGGTTCCCAGGTTCGGTAGGTACGGTACCCTACGAGATGTCTCGAAAAATTACTCCCAACTCCCCTCCTCCCCCGGTCCCGCGCCTCAACGTCCGTAAAAAGGACCATGACTAGCCCGTCTCTGGGGTAAAGCTCGGGGGAACCAGGTACAACCGGTGGGCGATAAAAAGTCATCACGAGGCATGTGGAGACGATCGCGGGGGACAGCCTCGGAAGGTTCGGCTCCCTACAGAAAAACGAGTCGTAAGCGCGGGATCTGGGATGCGACGGGGATCGTGGGGTCCCACCTCGGTTGGCCCGAAAGTCTCCCTCCATCTGAGACCCATACCCTGGTAAGTACCGAGTAAAGTAAGGCAAGTTAAGAGAGTTTGACGCTAGTTACGCACTACTCGTACCTCGTAGTATGTGTACCTACTCGTATACCGAGTAACTCGTCGACACACGAGCGAGGTATCTGTGTTTTCAAACGCGTGCTTGTAATGCCTAATGTTGACCACCAGCGAGCAAGCACGCAAAGCTTCGAGATCCCAAAAGAAAACCCCGGAAGCCACGTATTCCCGCGTCCCTTGCATTACCACTTCCTCGGGTCATTATCCATTGTCTCAACGTCTCCAACGAGGTATTTTGCACAATCTTTGGAGATGCATATGCCCGGAACGGTCTTTTCCGTTCCCGAGAACCAAGTTACAGAGTCGAGAAAAAGTTATCAACGCGTGTGACCACCGGCCAGACCATCTTCTACGGACGGGTAGGGACAACATTGTGCACGATCACGTGACTGTGACAAGGGGGGTTGAGCTCGCTGTACCACGGTATTGTTGTTAGTTGCATGAGACCTCGTCATCTACTCTCGAATGAAATACCTCGTAGCGTCGTGGGTGCCGGGGCTCTTTGGGGATCATCTGCTCACTACGAGTAGTTTCTCACCTCTATCCATGGCATATACTCGGTAGCAATCAAGTAAATTACCGATTTGCCGGCCATCTGTCTGACGGTCATTACAATTCTCTCGGCAATACTGCCCTCTAAGGGGGTCACAGCCTTGTTTGCCGGCGCGACGACGGAGACGAGTAGACAGTGTGATTCAGTCCTGAGAAGGACGAGTTGTAGTATGAGCAACGTCCCGAGAATTTTCAAGAAGATCTTCTACCAAGAGATGATGATGTGGAAGACAAAAGGTCCAACGACCCACCAATTTGCAAACTCGGTCACGGGGAGGGGGGAGGTCCCGCCCGTATCACCCGTGCAAGAGCCGATGTTGGTCTAGCCAGCCCACCTCAGTCAAGGGGAACATTGCTCCGTGGTATGCCGAGACTTGTGGTTTCTACTCTACTGGCTGTACCTAGGTACTAATGTGACTTGGAAATTTTTTCTGAGAGAAAAGTGATAATTCGGTGGGGTGCACCAATAGAAGAGAGGTAATCCGATTTCCCGCATAATAGTCAACACAGGCAAGGACGGACAGCGAGAGACAGAGAGAGAGAGAGATCTGTGATAGAGAGAGTGTGTGTATGAAAGGGAGGAAAACAAAAGAGAGCAAAGTCACTCAAGTCACCTATCATCCATTCTAATATGGCGTCAAAATCAGTCGGCAAACTTCTCACGCACATCTCGAGGCGGAAAACGGGCACCGTGGCGACTCTCACCATCTCCCGGCCGGACAAGCTCAACGCCCTGTCCTCGCACATCATGAGGGAGATCCCCAAGACCGTGTCCGAGGTGGTGCAGCAATACAAGGACCTCCTCGCCGTCGTGCTGACCGGACACGGCGCCAAGGCGTTCGTGGGCGGCGCCGACATCAACGAGATGGCCACGCTGACCACGCCCGAGGTCGGCCGGGCCTTCATCACCACCATGCACCACGCCTGCAAGTCGCTGCGTGAGTGCCCCGTCCCCGTCATCGGGCGTCTCAACGGGTACACGCTGGGCGGGGGGCTCGAGCTGGCCGTGTCGTGCGACTTCCGCGTCGCCAGCAGGAACGCCGTCTTCGGCATGCCCGAGGTCAAAGTGGGCGTGCCCAGCGTCGTCGAGGCGGCGCTCATCACCAGCCTGATCGGCTGGGGGCGGACCCGGCGGCTGTTCTACCTGGGCGACAAGATCGGCGCCGAGGAGGCCGAGCGCTGGGGCCTCGTCGAGAAGGTGGTCGAGGACCAGGAGAAGCTGGACGAGGCCGTCGAGCAGTGGCTGATCGAGCTGGAGGAGTGCGGCCCGCGCTCCATCAAGATCCAAAAGGAGATGATGCGGCGGTGGGAGAACGTCACCATGGAAGAAGCCATCAGGAACTCGATCGACTTTTTCGGCCGCTCGTTCGAGACCGAGGAAGGCAGCGGCGACGTCTCGGAACCGCAGAGGATGACTCGTGAAGTCCTGGCGAAACTGGCCGCGAGGAAGTCAAAGTTGTAGATCAAAATGGAGGAGATGCGATGAAGGGCAGGGCAAGGCAGGCAGGGCAAGGCAGGCAGGGCAGCACGTTGGTCAATTTCGAGGAAATTCAAACCATAGCACATGGATTTTTTCCGTATGGAAGTTGATGGGTTTGAAACGGGAAACCGAACGCGACATCTCCTGCTATTAGGCAAGGAAGATCCAAATATACCTACATCCACCTATGTAGGTATATATCGAGGCTGGAAAGACGCTCTACTGCAGTATATACAATCTCTAGAGATGGGATACAGTCCCCCGATCTCATTTACTTGGGTTGTGTATACGAGGTAGAAAGTACGACAGGCGAAATCCCACTTTCGGTTCAGAAGTGGTGGAGAGCAATAGATACCCAGATACCCAGCTCTCCAGCTCTCCATCCTCTCCAGTCTCCCCCCCGACTCGCCAAGTTCATCTCGCTACGAAGTGTTTCAATCAATGTTTACAGGTAGTCCCTAGATGATTTTCCTTGGGAAGTTGTCTAGGTCGGTCTAACCAAGGGCGGGGAAAAGCCACCGGTTGCATTCCGCCGCCCTCGGCGTCTTTGGGATCCACCAGCATTTGTTTCCGAAACCCGTCGTTACCATGGGTAAAGAATGGCAACTGAATTGTCAGAAACGTGGGACTCGAACAAAAAACGGGCGGTGTGGTTTTGTCTCCCCAATAGCCCTCCCTTCCCCCTTCAATACCTGGCCATGTATGCTGGCAGACCAGTAATACTCTGGGTAGTTCGTCTCCTTCTCTTCTCTCTCTCTCCGAATTTCTCACGGCTGACAATCACCTGGGCGTGTATGGGCGCCGATGAGTTCTCTCTATGTCGGCTGACATCCATTTGCAACCTGCCGGCGTTTTTGACTTGAGAGTGTTTCACTAGACGCAGACGCGATTCCCCGGGTTTGTGGTTGGACGGGGGTTTTTTCTATCAAATCATCCTTGGCTCACCCATTCGGAGGAAAAAGAGTGAATAGAAAGAGAGAAGGAAAGAAAGACTCGTCCCTACTTTGAAGACGACCAAATCATTCTAAACCATTTACAAACTTGCCTTCTCCTTGTCACTCGAAATGTCGGCGGTCAAGTTGACCCCAGTGCCCGTCGTGGACGGCGAGGCTACAACCGCCGCGGCACCTGTATCTGTACCTGCACCCCAAATCAAAGAGAAACAGGCCACGGTGCCGTTTCGGTATCAGTTCCTGGCAGGTGCTGTCGCTGGTGTTAGTGAGGTATGTTTGCTTTGGTCTGCCTTTCACTTTCTGGGTCTGTCCTTCTAAAACTTCCATTTGCAGGTTCTTGTCATGTACGCAAAGAAAACGACTTTCCCCTTCTGGGGGGTATGTGAAAGGTATTGACCAGAGGGACGAATCCCACGCAGGTATCCTCTGGATGTTATCAAAACGAGATTGTAAGTTCATCTTCTGGGAAGGGGGAACAGGGGGGACGAAACCCTTTGGTGACCTTTTGGTAGAAGGCACGAGGCTGTCGTCAAGTCAATCTGCTGACGATCCCCCTTTTTATTCCTTTGGCTAGACAATTGCAGAATTCAGCCTCTAGACAGTACACTGGGATGATCGATTGTGGAAGGAAGATCTTGTACCAGGAAGGGTGAGTCTCAAGTACACCCCCTGCGGCGACCAAGTTTGGCCTCTCGGGTTTCTGACACAACGAGTGACCTTTTAGGATCCCGGTCTTTTACAGAGCCATTGGAGCTCCTATACTCATGGAAGCACCAAAAAGGTAAGAAGCACAACCATGTGGTTTTTTGGTTGCTATCTAACCCCCAAAAAGGGGGGTTGGTTCACTCGATCCTCATCACGTTGTTTTTTCTTGGATGGCTTACCGATATCATTCTTTGCAGAGCAACCAAGTTCGCGTCCAACGCCGCCTTCGGCAGCTTCTACCAGAAACTCTTCGGGCAGGAGAAGATGACGCAGCCGCTGTCGATCGTGACGGGGGCCAGCGCGGGTGTCGCCGAGAGCTTTGTCATTTGCCCCTTCGAGGTGGTCAAGCTGCGCATGCAGAACCCGGCCAACGCGAGCCAGTACAAGAACGTGGTCGACTGCGTGGGCAAGCTGGCGCGGAACGAGGGACTGTCGGTGTTTTTCCAGGGGTTCGAGTGCACCATGTGGCGGTCCGTGGTGTGGAACGCCGCCTATTTTGGGTGCATCTTCCAGATCCGCGCGTTGCTGCCCAAGGCCGACACCAAGGCCGGGCAGATGACCAACGACCTGATTGCCGGCAGCTTGGGCGGCACGGCCGGCATCTTCGTCAACACCCCCTTCGACGTGGTCAAGTCGCGCATCCAGAGCGTCGCCACGTCCACGCACCAGGTCCGCAAGTACAACTGGGCCTTTCCGGCATTGGCCACCGTCATCCGCGAGGAGGGCGTCAGCGCCCTGTACAAGGGACTCGTGCCCAAGTTGGCCCGCTTCTGTCCCGGCGGAGGGATCTTGTTGGTCACGTACACGACCGTGATTGACTTTTTGACGACCATGAACAACAAAACGAGGTCTTGATAGCGAGCAGGGGGAATGGGTAGATAGAATATATTTATATCGGTTTCACCAAATGTTGGCGCTTTACAGATATATATACATTGATGCCATGCTTCATGTATATACATACCAAGGTAGTCTCTCAGCCTTGTGCCCGTTAGTCAGCAACCCAGCGAGCCAGCCAGCCATCAGCTCCTTCGGCTTCAACCCCCGCTCAAAGCCACACTTCTACTTGAATGTGCGTGTCAACAGTGTCGTACACGGAATGGACGGGTATCGTGAAATGAGTGACGGGTGACGGGCCGGAGACATCCTGGGTCCAGAGACACCGACCAGGCATACCGTGACAATCAGCAGGATTTTGCACCGCATACTTTGTACTTTGTAAGATTCTCAACTAGTTATGCTGTGCTGGGATGGTCTACGTTGGAAGTCGAGTCGGGAGCATCGCACGGGTCGGGAGCCGAGTACTCTCATACCTCAATACCTCATAGTCGGTTAAACAGAGTAATTCCACCATAAAGTAGCATCTCTACGTACGTACGTACGCACGCGAGCGAAATTCAAACAACCTCCCTCCTCCATCACCAAGAATGAGTCCGTCCAGAAGATAGAATCCGTCATGACCACTGTGCTGTCTGTTCGCAGCTCACCTGACCACATTTACATACATGGTGGCACATCGCCAGCTGTTTATCCGCGTATTCTGTCTGTCAGTCTACCTACTCCGACTTCTCCACCTCTGCCTCTGCCTCTTCGACATCCCGCTTCGCCACCCCCAAAGGAGACTTCTGATCGGCATGGATCACCGTCTCCTCGTCGACAAAGCCCCGCGGACGCCTCTTGGACAATTGCTTCGCGACCTTGACACAGTCGAAGATGTTGTTGGAGCGGGTGAAAATCTCGTCAATCTCCTCGAGTGAGCGCCCGTTCGTCTCGGGGAGGAGGTAGTAGACGATGGGGATCCACGAGAGGTTGAGGACCGCGTAGGGGATGAAGTAGCGCCAGTGGACGTGGGTGAAGCCGATCGGGGTGACCTCGACGACGAGGAAGTTGAACAGCCACGACACGGCGGTCGAGACGCCGCAGATGGCCGCTCTCAAGTGCACGGGGGCGATCTCGCTGGCGTACAGGAAGGGGATGCCCAGGAACCCGATCGTGTAGGTGAAGTAGTAGAAGAAGAGGAAGAAGACGGCCGCGTTGATGGCGGCCTTTTCGGTCCGCGACGTCAGCCCGGCCAGGCACGACATGCAGACGGTCATGCCGCAGGCGCTGGTCAGCATGAGCGCGCGGCGCCCGAACCGGTCCACCGTGTAGGAGCAGACGACGCTGCCGAGGACGATGACAAACATGCTCGAGGCGGCCAGGATCTGGGCGACGGTCGCGCTGAAGCCGAGGTTCACCTCGTAGATCAGCGCGGCGTAGTACGAGACGATGTTGACCCCGGACATTTGGAGCATCATCTGCGTGAGCGCCGCGAGCACCAGGCGGTGAAAGATTCGCTCGGGCCCCATGGTGAACATGGCCGCGAGGGAAACCGACTTGGCACGCTCGAACGAGGCCAGAATGCCCTGGATCTCGGCCTCGACAACCTCGTTGTGGTCGTCGGTGTCGTAGCGGAGATGCATGACCTCGCGGGCTTCGTCGATCCGGCCGACCTTGATCAGCCATCGCGGCGACTCCGGCAGGGTGAAGATGAACACCATGACCACGGCGGACAGGATGATCGAGGCCATATAGGGGAACCGCCACGCAAACGACGACGACCGCGCGTAGGACGCGCCGAAATCGACCCAGCACGCGAGCGCGAGGCCGAGGCCACCAAAGATGCCAAACGCCGACACGTGTTCTCCGCGGCTCTCTGCCTTTGCCAGTTCAGCCTGCCACACCGAGACGGTGGCCAGGATGCCCCCGGTGCCGAGTCCGACGACGATTCGCGACACGATGAACTGCGCAAACGAAAACGACGTGCCCATCAGGATCTCCCCCACGATCTGGACGCCACTCGCGAGGAAGATCGTCCGTCGACGCCCGATGACATCGCCGAAGACGGTGCAGGCCAAGGCGCCAAGAGTCCCCGTCAGGGTGTAGAGGGCCACAACGGTGCCTAAAGACTCATTTGTTTTTTGTGTTTAGCATTAAAAAACTAATTTCCCCAGGGGGAATCTGTAACAAAGCAATATCGAACGCACCCTGGATGGTGGAGTTGTGCTCCTGTTTGCCGCCTGTGGTATGCAGCGTATCCATCTGCGGGAACTGCCTATTGAACGAGTCGTTGCCCAGAACACCGCCAGCCACGGCCTGATTGTAGCCGAAGCTCATGAGCGCAAACATGGCCAGCGTCCAGACCGCAGTCCCAAGCCGCCGCCCACGAAGGCCCCAGAATCGAGCCATGGCTTTCTTGGCCAGAAAAGGAAGATGATTGGTGCGCGAGCTTGCACGAGGACGAGGACGATGGCTACCGAGGAGACTTCGGTCCTGGCACTGTCTGGGCGTGCTGGTTCAGCCGGGGGAGGCGTGGTAGAGAGATGCTTAACACCAGAAACAAGGCGCCAAGTACCGGCCCTTGGGCCTTTTAAATACGAAGTTTCAATTCCTCACTGCTCGGGGATGAGTTATTGCCACGCGCTTGATTCTCCGCTAGAACCCCCGGATGGGGGAAACATCTCCCCGACGTTCATGATCTCTAAGCGCGTTGGAATTCCTGGGTGAAGATCACAAGACCTCAAAGGGTTTACGGGCCCCGTGCCCGGCATCATAGTTGGAGGGTTTGATCATGGCCCTTGACGGGGGCCAAGCGATAGCCGGAGAAGACTGATTTGGTTCGGTGTTAAAAGGCCGATCTGGATAGTATTATTAGGCGACCTGGAGACGACCCTACCTACCTAGTGATGACCTTGTCGCCAAGCCCACCCATGTACATGTACCTCGTATTACTTGTATTGTTACGATTCACCTGCCGGCCGGGGCCTCGGATGTTTGCCGGGTCGATCCCGGAGCCTGGCAGTGTGGTCAGCTGAAATTAGACTAACTGTTTTTGGGAGTAGAGTTTTGTCCTGAATAGGAAATATGTGGGGTCACCTATTTCTCCGTACAAGGGGGTTTAGGCCAAGACACCTACCTGCCCGTCAACCAGTATGGATGGGATGTTCTCGAACTCTGCTGTCAACAGATCTTGATTTGGCCATTTGTTCTTGTGTGAGGCTTGAAAAATAAAAACACCGGGGACTCTCAAGTTTTTACGAAGAGGGCGGCTGCGGCTCAAGAAGCCATGGGAATGGGACCACCGATGCGAGGTCTACTACAGGTTTTCACCCGCCACGCCTCAACGCGACTTCGCCCACAGACAACCAGACCATGCCTCAGCCTCGGTCGGTCGTCGTCACGTTACCTGTCAAGTCAGGGTCAAGGGAAGGCAGGCTTGATCAATAACATCAAAGTACTTGATCTCTCTCGAGTGATTGCTGTAGGTTGGAATCCATCCAGGCCAGGTCCTACCCTATCGATCTTGAAGCGTGCGGCTCAAAGGAATTGTTTTAGGGTCCTTTTTGCGCGCAGATCCTGGCAGACTATGGCGCCACGGTCATCAAAGTCGAGCAGCCTCAGAAAGGAGTACGTCTCTACCTTCTCAGTCTCTGTTTATCCCTAACTCTACTCGTCCCAAACGGCGGGCGAGTGTCCTCCCTACTTCACACATCTAACCAACCTCCCTGCCTGTATAGGATGATCTCAGGCACTACAAGCCCCCAGTGGAAAAGGACAACTGGGACCCCAAGCTAGGTCCAATGTCCAACTTCTTCGCGGCGTGTAACCGCAACAAACGCTCGATATGTCTCGACCTGAAGAGCCCCAAGGCGCACGAAATCCTGTTCGAACTGGCAAAGGACGCCGACGTCATGTATGAAATCCCGACATTCACCATTCCTGTCCAGTTACACCCCGAGTCTACCATTGGGTTCCTTTGTCTGACGTGATGATTTACAGAATCGAGAATTTCGTTCCCGGCAAGATTGACGAGCTCGGTCTGGGATATGACAAGTTGAAACAAGTCAATCCCCGGATCATCTATGCTAGTATTTCAGGTATAGCTATATCCTTCACCTCACTGGCGCTGGTTCCCCAAGTCACTAAGCGGAGCTGCATAGGATACGGATCCAAAGGACCCTGGGCCAAACGAGCCGGCTACGACATGATTGTAGGTGCGGAGGCTGGACTCATGCACATCACCGGCCCACGCGGTGGACCGCCGACCAAACCCGGCGTCTCGATCATCGACTTGTGCACGGGGCTGTACCTGCACGGGGCCATCCTCGGAGCATTACTGGCGCGCCAGGAGACGGGTCTGGGCCAACGCGTGACGGTGTCGCTGTTCGAGTCGATGGTGTCGCTCCTGATCAACGTGGGCATGGACTGGGTCAACTCGGGACAGGAGGCCCAGCGGTGGGGGACGGCGCACCCGAGCGTGGTGCCCTACGACGCGTGGAAGACCAAGGACTCGCACGTCGTGACGGGCGCGTCGACGGAGCGCCAGTGGCGCCGGCTGTGCGACATTCTCGGTCGGCCGGATCTGGTCGACGACGAGAGGTTCGAGAACAACTCGGCCAGGGTCAAGAACAGGGAGGTCATCACGCCCATCCTGCGCGAGTGCTTCGAGAGCAGGACCACCGACGAGTGGCTCGAGCGCTTCGAGGGGAGCGGCATGCCCTACGGGGCCATCAACAACATGGAACGCGTCTTCAAGCACCCGCAGATCGAGGCTGGCGAGATGCTTCAGCCGGTCGAGTACGAAGGGTTGAAGTCGGGCGTGCTCAAACTACTCGGTCGGTCTATTTTCCTTCTTTTCTTCCCCGTCTCTTTTACTCACTTCCTGCCTCCCCCCCCCCCTTCCCCTTTTTCCCTCCTCCTCCGGCTTCTTTTCCCCGACGGAACCCTCATTCTAACCACACCTCTCCCCCACGAAACAGGTCCGCCCGTGAAGTTCTCCGAGGCCGCCACGCCCGTCAAACTCCGCCCACCGCTTCTGGGCGAACACACCTCGGAAGTCCTGAGGGAAATTGGACTTTCCGACGCGGCCATAGAAGACCTCCAGAAGACGGGTGTCACGCAATAAATAAAAAATAAATATAGTGGCGACATCACCCCCCTACCCAGCAGGATCTACGATGTGGTAGGATCAGCCGCATAAGGGTATTCAGTGGGCAACCGGGGTTATATAAATACAGGTACACTACACGACGGGCATATCTCGATGGGTTGGTGGGTGAGTGATCACCACAAGCATTAGCAGCATTAGACGTGATCTCGGAACAGAGGGCCAGAGTACATTGTAGCCGAGTCTTTTTGTTTTTTTAATGCTCTTGGGCTAAAGCAAAGAATGGTTCGTGCTATATGTGGTATATGCGTGTGGGAAAAGCAAAAGCTCAAAGAGCCAAAGAAAAACATCCGTCGCCACGCCTCATGATGATAGTTTTCTGTTTCCTTTTTTTTTTTTGATCAATGATTCGAGCCCTGTTCCTCCTCACTCCCAATTCCAAGTCCCTTCCTCCCATCAAAACAACGATCCCAAGGGACCCAAAACTGATCGATGCTAGAACGTGCAAGAGTAGTAATTGGTAGCAAGCAAAGAACTTTTCCAACAGAAACCCCTGCGTTGTTGTTGACTCTTTCTACTGTGGCACGGATCCCTCGAGCGTGATGCGGTGCAGAGACCTCTTGTACCCGTGGTAATCATTGATGGGGTTATGCTGGACGCAGCGGTTGTCCCAAAAGGCCAGCGATCCCACCTCCCACCGGAAGCGGCAGGTGAACTCGAGCCGGACCTGGTGCTGGAAGAGGTACTCGAGCAAGGGCTTGCTCTCCTCCTCGGTCCAGCCGTCGAACCGCAGCGTGTGGGCGACGTTGACATAGAGGGCTTTGCGGCCGGTTTCCGGGTGCGTCTGGACGACCGGGTGCGAGGCCTCGAGGTCGGCGGGCTTGACGCCTGGGTTCGCGCCGTCTTCCTTGACCCGGTCCTCGCGCGTCTTGCTCACCTCGGCTTTAGCCGAGCTGCTGATGGCGCGGAGGCCGTCGAGCTGTCTCTTCAGGCCGTCGCTCAGCGCCTCGTACGCGAGGTACTGGTTGGCGAAGCAGGTGTCGCCGCCGTGGGGAGGGAGCACGCGAGACACGAGCATGGTGCCCATAGGCGGGCTTTTGAGATAGGTCGTGTCAGCGTGCCACACGCCGCCAAAGTTTGTCTTTTCGTGCTCGCGCTTCAGCACCTCGGTAATCAGTGGGTAGCCAGGCAGGCCGCTGATCATGGGGTACTGCATGGGCTTGCCAAAGTAGCGGGCAAAGGCCAGGAAGGTGTCTGGGGTCAAATGTCCCTGGTCGCGGAAGAAGATGACCAAATGGTCGAGCAGGGCCTGGTGCATCGTGTCTCGGACCTTGGCGTCTTCGAGGTCCTTTGCTAGGTCGACGCCCGAAATCTCTGCCCCACAAGCTCCCGCGATCTTCTTCACCTTGATCGCCGTGTCGTTGACTGTCGCTATGGTTCTTGACTGCGGACGAAGCCCGTGAGACGGTCGACGTAGCGAAGGCGTGAGGGTTAGGCAGCGAAGGAAACTTGACCCCGATGCCATGGGGCTCGTGGCGGAGCTAACATGGCGACACAGCGTCGACATGGAGCTGTGTGTGAGGGTCGAATAGCAATTCATGATCGGGACGAGCTTCACGACTTCTGCGGTGACTCAGCCCTGCAGCCTCGCGGTACAGGATATGACGGTGAGGGTGGTTGTAAGATCTAATCTGATAAGGAATGAAATGTGTCTGAGTGTGGAACTGAAGAACGAGCCACACAGGTTGAGTAGAGTTTGAGGTTGGTGGTTGATAGAACGGACCTTCACCAAAGGACCAGCTCAGCGGACGCCCTTCACTCTTCTTTCCTTCGCTTGTATAAATCTGTGAAACATTAAAGACATACTCCAAATACCCCAACAAACATAATAAAATCCCTCGCCACAAACACGAGACAAAACTCCAACCAAAAAGTGGCGGGATAGTCCGGACCGTTCTTTATCGATCAGCCGGACCGTCTGTATGACCTTGAGCCCCGAATCCGGGATCCACAAAAGACTGAAATTCCATAAGGCAAAGAATACATGAGACTTGATCCCAGCTGTCACCGGGTCTCTGTCCGAAGGGGCAGAGGAAAATGCACAAACCTCAGGCGATCGAGTCAGGCAACGTCTTGTTACCTTGAATGCTCCATCACCCCATATTAATGCATTGTGGGCACAAAGCAGCACATTCTTGTTCGTTCCAAGTTCCAAAGTATACTTTTGGACCTTGGAGCGAGGCTCGATTGATAATTCCTGGGGATGGAGGGAACCTCGGCTTCGCTCTGTGTGTCATTGGCCATGTGTATCCCTCGGCATCGTCTTCTAACGTTTTGGTCGTTATAAGGCAAAGGCTGTGAGACGCTGAATTGCGAGTCCGAGATCCGTCAGGTTCGAGATACGCTTCCTGTCTGTTCTTTTTAAACTTTTTCGCTTCAAGGGGGACTTGGGAAAGAAGCTGGTGCTCTTTATCCCCTCCTGCTCTTCTTCCTCCAGCGTTTCCCCCATACTCCCGCACTCCCCTATTTCCCCCATCCCCCACCCCCATATCCCAGATATTTTGGTGTCCAGTTTGCAAAGATGATCGCCAAAGACGTCGACGTCGAGGTCATCGAGGCCAAGTACGCAGAGGAAAGACAAAAGCGTCTGCGTCCTGACGGCACGGCCCAATATGTCGATGTGCTCGAGTCTGACAAGTTCAAGAACTTTGGTGTCGATCCCTGGGCCTGGGAGGGCCACTCGGCACCCACGCATCCCTTGGAAGATGGGGATCACTATAAAGTCGTCATCCTTGGTACCGGGTTCGCCGGCATCCTCTATGGCATCCACTTCCTCCGCGCGGGCTTCAAGCTGAGCGACCTGTTGTTTGTCGACCGCGCCGGTGGCTTCGGCGGCACCTGGTACTGGAACCGGTACCCAGGCATCATGTGCGACGTCGAGAGTTATATCTATCTCCCTCTGCTCGAGGAGACCGGTTATATGCCAAAACACAAGTACTCGTATGGGTACGAGATCCGAAATTACGCCAACGAGCTAGCCTCAAAGTACAACCTGGGCGAGAGCGCCTCGTTTAACACCGAGATGGACTCGGCCAGCTGGGACGAGCATGAAAAGGGCTGGAGCTTTGAGCTCCGTCAGAAAACCCCCGACGGCAACGCGCGCAGAGTCCATGTTCGTTCCGATTTTTTTGTGTTGGCCCCGGGCCTTTTCACCCATCCTAAACTGCCAGGTATCCCCGGCATTGAGGATTTCAAGGGTCATTGCTTCCACACCTCTCGATGGGACTATGCCTACACGGGCGGCTCCCCGACCGACTGGACTCTCGATAAGTTGCAAGATAAGCGAGTAGCCATCATTGGGACGGGCGCAACGGCCATCCAGGCCATCCCCCAGCTTTCCAACTGGGCTAAGCAGCTTTACGTCGTTCAGCGAACCCCGGCTGGCGTCGATGTTCGGGGCCAACAACCCACCGACCCAGAGGTCTGGAAACGAGAGATCGGAAATAAGCCCGGTTGGCAAGAGGAGAGAATCAGAAACTTCCTCGAGTGCATGAGCGACCCGTATGAACCTCCGAGCGTCGACATGGTGGACGACGCCTGGTCCCACTTCATTTCTGGCGCGGTTCTGACCGGCGGCCCTCGCGCAAAGGGGCTCACCATGGAAAACCTCCCAGAATTTCTCAAGAGGTATCGCTCCATGGACCTGGAGCGCCAGGAAAAGGTTCGGGAGAGAGTGGACAAGGTAGTCCAGGACCCCGAGATCGCAAAGAGCCTCAAGGCCTGGTACGCCAGCTGGTGCAAGCGGCCTTGCTTCCATGATGATTATCTCCCCACCTTCAACAAACCCAACGTCCGTCTACTCGACACCCAGGGTGCAGGCTTGACCAAGATCACCAACGACGGCATCATCGTCAACGGTGAAAAGATCGAGGTCGACGTCATCGTCTTCAGCACGGGATTCGAGGTCGAGGGTGCCAACTCTCCTGCGGCGCAGGCAGGCATCCCTGTTACGGGACGCAATGGACTCTCCTTGAATGAGAAATGGGACCGTGGCGTGGGCACCCTGCACGGCATAACCACTCGGGACTTCCCCAACTTCTTCTTCACCGGGACCAGTCAGACTCTGACGTCGCCCAACTTCATGGTCGCCCTAGACTACCTGGCCAAACACTCCGTCTACATCATCTCCACCGTGGTCAAGAAGGCCGAGCAAGAAGGCAAGTCCAAGGCTGTGGTAGAGCCCGCCCAAGACGCAGAAGAGGCCTGGGCCGCTGCAATTGCCAAGGGTGCCATCTCTGGCGCCGCAATGGCCGGTTGTACTCCCAGTTACTACAACCGGGAGTGTGAATTGGAGAGCATCACAGCCCCCGAGGAATTGGCCAAGATGATGAGGAAAGGCATCTGGTCTGGTGGCCCTTTGGATTTCATAGATTTCGCCAATGCCTGGGAGAAGGACGGTAAACTGGAAGGACTTGAGGTCTCTACCTTTTAGAATAGACCGCCGAGGAGCTTGTGTCGATGCTCAGGAAGGGAGTTTCATGAATTCACGCTCTTTGTCGCCTTTGCACAGAAATTAGAGAGACTTGCTGCATAAGCCTGAGAGTTTAAGGGGCAGCTTTTTCCCCATAACTGCATATCGAACACTCCCTCGTGGATCCTCTCTCCCGTACAATGTAGATGAATCCGTCGGAAGCGGAATTCTGCTTGCCGCGGCATATCTAAACATCGTCATATTGTGTCGTAAAACATGCTCTGCAAGTGAAATGCCGTTCAGATGTGCATAATGTGCCTCGGGGAAGGACAGACCGTGAAGCCGCGCGACGATAGTGAACTCTACAGCGAGTATAAAGTCGTAATGGCCCCCCAGCTGTACCTTTCCCTCTTGGCCACCTGCTGCTCAACATCCCGAACTGCAACGATTATCTGTAATCCGAAACACGTTTGCTCTCTCCAAGTGCCGATTATCGTTTTCACCTAGACAGTCTTGATCGTCGTCCCAGTCCGCCAAAATGCCGTCCAAGGAATCCGAGGCGCTTGCCGAATTCTACAAGTCGTTGACATCGACAATGACGGCGAACCCGACCCTCCCCTTGGATATACTTCGGATCATCACAGAAGAATGCCACCAACTCGCGTCCGAGCCCACGGACGTCACATATGAGGAAGCACACTGTGCCGGAACCGTGCGTCCTGCGATCTGGTGTCGACCCCTTGGTGCCTCTCCGAAACATGTGACGGTGTTTTTCCACGGCGGAGGCTTTTTCAGTGGTTCGCCAAATGCGTACCGGAAGCTCGGGGGCCACATTGCAAAGGCCTTTGGCACACAGGTCCTCGTGCCTGACTATCGAAGGGCTCCCGAGGCGACTTTTCCCAGCCAGATCGAGGACGGCGTCGCCGCCTACGACTGGCTCCTGCAGCAAGGCTTTTCTCCCGAGCAGGTCATAATTTCAGGAGACTCTGCTGGGGGGAATCTCGCACTGACCACCACACTTAAGATCCTAGAACTGCAGAAGCCGCGACCAGGCGGTGTAGTGGCTTTCTCGCCTTGGGTGGATATTGAATGCAAGGGCAAGACCATGGACATCAACAAAGAAAAGGACTTCCTTGCCAGTCGCGAATCGCTGGGTCAAGGCCGTCTGTTGTGGCTAGCAGGCCAGTCTCCTCAAAATCCTTTGGCCAACCCGTTTTATGCCGACTTGTCCGGTTATCCGCCCTTGTACCTCGTTGCCGGCGGACATGAGGCACTGTTGAGCGATACCGAAGATTTGGCAGAAAAGGCCAAAAAGGCTGGTGTGGACGTGGATAAAGAGGTCGCGGAGGGCATGCAACATGTTCATATATTCATGGCTGGCAGAGCTCCTGAAGCGGATGCTACTCTTCAAAAAGCAGGCAAATGGGTTCAGTCCAAGCTGAAGCTGTGAGTATCGAGGATTGAAGCCACCAGATGACCATGAGGTTTCGATGTCTAAAGAGGTCTTGATTTCTAGAGGCGCCGCGCGCCCATGGTATCAAATCGTGTTTGAGATCTCTATCCCAGAAGCTGGACTCATTGGCTTGATAGAGGTGTCAAGTCACGGCCGAAGGGCCAAGTGACAGTCGACGAGACGCTATAGCATCCATTCAAGGGACATCTTGCTGTTGCAGTGGTCATGGTGGTTGTGACAGCGAGCTCCAGTTATCATTCCAATACCAGTATTTACCCAGTATTGTCATTACACTTGTGTGTAAACAAAACCCCCGCCTCTTTTTTTTTCTTGTGTAACATTGCTGGTACATCTTTGAATCGCAATCGAAAGACCTTATCCTCGTCATCCCTTGCGCTGTATCGAATGCGGTTTTCGTGCCCTCCATACAGAATGTCGAAAGTAGAGTCGGGCTGCACTGGGTGTGTCAATGCACTCGCATGGAGGACGGGTTGAAGCTCGTTGTCCAGATAGATGCCAAGCGGTCTCTAGGACCGGAGCAGCAGAGTTGGGAGTCTCGGGAACGCAGTGACCGGCCGTCACCGTTGTGGTGACAGTCGTGGAATTAGGCGGCGTATAATTCAGTCCTCAGAATTCCTCAATCACAGCTCCGAGATCACAAAGAGGATGGATAAGAGCGCCTGGCACGGTAGGTACTTTGCAGGTCGTGATGTTTGACGAAGCAAATGCGGACGAGGAAGGTGAACGAGAGCGAGTCGGAGGTTTCTGAGGAGGAAGATGACTTTGCGAAGATGTCTCAACCCAATTGAGTCTGTCAATGTAGTGCCGACCTTTGAACCTGCGGCCGCGGAATGACGTTTGATAGAGAGATGTAGTCGTGTGACCATGACTATGAGGCACTCAAGGCTCTTCACATTTGATATCCAAGTCTTGGCATGAAAAGAGAAGGCAAATCAACAACGAGCGCACCTCGACATTCACCTTCAACTCACCACCTCTTCCCTACTCGACAATGACTTCTGCTCCAGCGCAAGACCAGGATATCGCCCCTAGTGCGAGATCTCGGGAGGTCTTGCGCGGAGGTCCGTCTCTTCCGTACTGTCACCGTACCACCGCCGAAGCCATCACCCTAGCGATTGGACCATTGAATACTATCTCACTTTATAGAATTGAACAGTGGGAGTACGAATACCACGAATGTCCGGGCTCGTCACCTAATGGAAAGAAAAGACTGGAGATTTCCGGATTCGGGATTATGGAGGGCCAGGCTGAGGGGGTGTGGATACGACAATTTTCAGGTCGAAAACAGTGAGCCACAAAAGGCCTGGGGTACTGCCACCCCCTCCTATGAGAGAATACACCATCAGAAGTAGGTTCTGACTCCAGGACTCCTGTATATGCCGCTTACCGACTACTAGACTACAGAGTAGACCACTGACAGACGCTCTTTCGACACTTTGCAAACACCCCCCACGTTAGCCGATGCTAACCAGGTCTTTGCCAGCTAGTATGTCGGTATACAGAAGAGTCGGGTAGGTGCAATTTTGGAATGAGGTTGTGATCTGTGACGGAGTAGATGGTGTGTACTCAGGATGGACTATAGGCGTAACCAACCTGAGACTAAAATGAGAACCAAGGGAAAGTATGATATAGCACGAGTGGAATCGCGGTCTACCTCGATATCCATGTGAACCTAACCCTCATTTCTACCGTCTACATCACAATAAACCCACTTGATTTTGGAAATCTGTCATCTCATTCTCCAGAAAGTGGTCACACTCGCTTTTACTTCTTCGCAGCATACTCTTCATCTTTCACAGGCTCGTACCAATCAATCTTCCCATATGAGACTGCTTCGTGGACCATAAAGCTCGCGTCGTCAGCACCGTGCCAATGAATCGCACCTGGTGGACACCAGACAACATCTCCGACAGTGATCCGCCGAGGCTCGCTGCCTCTATCACAGATCCAGCCACTGCCACCAGTGATTTTCAACAGCTGACCGCCATCGTGCCTATGCCAGTTTGTTCTCGCGCAAGGGGTGAAGTTGACATTTGCGACGGAGATATTGTCGGCCCTCAGGACAGAATCAAGCCAGACGTCGCCCGTGAACGTGCCCATCGCCTTCCCGGGAGTCGAACTTGCCCCAGTTCGTGCGTTGTTGGCGAAAATGCTTTTCGGATTGATGGCGTTTGGATCTTGCTTCTTGATGGAAAGATCTGAGTAAGACATGCTGGGCTATTGAGTTGCAGGCAAGGGTCTGTAGTAGCTAGTGGTACTTTGCCTGACAGTCGGGTGTGTTTAATCTGAGAATGGAGAGAATGCTGGGATCAGGAAATGGGAAAGCTTTTCGAGGTCTGTGCCGAGATCGAACGTGGTAGTTAAACTGAGAGTCCACCCTCACCCCCCCCCTTCTCTCCTTTTGTTTCTCGTCTTCCGGCGCCTGCTCGGAAAACTCTGGATCTCGTCAGCTTGGCTAAACGACTTGCAGGAGCGAAGCACCGAAGCGAAAATACTCCGTAAGTCTCGGTCCACTTCAGTGCGCGCCAGGCGAAGACGGAATACTTTTGCGTAGGTATGCAGCCGGTGGTCGGTACCCGGTATTCGGTACATACAGTCAAGCGGCAGAATGTGTGGGGTCTCGACACACTAAGACCCTACCTAGAGTTGTGATGTACAGGGTAGGGAGTAAGAGCGGATGTAGTAAGGAGTACAACCTGGCCGGCTTCCCACACCGCCAGCCGAAGGGCCGGTATAACAGGACTCACCTCCGGAGCTGCAGGAGCCTCGAACTGGGCCGTTTACCGTGACAATCCTTCTATACTTGGATTGCGAGTAGAGTGCAAAGATTGTCTGTACTGGTGCGAATCGAGCCAGTCTCTGTGAATCCATAATCATGTACCAAGATGGCACTCAACATTTAATGCCAGTCCGACGTCAACTTGGACCACAAAGTCGAGAAAAAATGGCTTTCAGTGTCGTGATATGATACCCAACCTCCTGGTGAGAAGAATCTGCCAAAGAAGTTTGAAAAGGACGAGGAGTATTCCACACTTGATTCTACTATATGCAATTTAGTATCTATAAGTCCAACGAAGCCATCAACCTCCTTGACTCCTCAGAATAAAACATCTGGGTGATCCAAGTACCATGTCTGATCACCTCCCTCCATTTCTCTAATCGAGAACCCATTCCCAAGATATGCATAACGGTTTCGTGTCCGTCTGACATAGTCAAAATCCTCGCCCCTAAAATCTTCCAGCATATGAAACCAGTGAATGCGGCTGCCAGGATGCAGAGCAGTAACCGGTCCGGTAGCCCTGCCATTTTTGAACCATGACCGACAATTGCCTGACCATGCTGTTCGAGGCATGAACTTTTGAACATGTTCCAAGAACTCTTCTACCGCATCCTTCTTGGGAGATATGGCTTTGATGCCTTGAGTTTGGCATTTTCGAATAATCTTGATCATGAATTTCGCGACATGTTCCGTTATGGTGAGGACACTTCCGTGGCCAATGGGGGCATTCGGACCAAGAAAGACTGGAAGACGGGGTCAGCTACTTAAGACTTCATACACCAGGCATGAACCAAACTTACCAAAGTAGTTAGGCATTTCAGGAATCAAGCATGACATGTAAGCAGCAGGTAACTGCTCTTTCCACAAATCTTGCAAGTTCTTTCCGTCTCGACCGATGACGGGGAAACGTGGGCAGAAAGATACATCAAAGCCGGTGGCACACACAATAACATCGACTTTGAATTCCTCTCCAGTCGATGTCAAAAGGCCTTCGGGGTTGATTTCAATAATGGAATCAGTCACAACCTGGACGTTTGGCTTGCGCAACGATTCGAGATACCCCACCCCTGGCGTGATTCGTCGGCAGCCCACCGGAAAGTCCGGTATCAGGAAGTCAATGAGACGCCTGTCATCGCCCAGCCGCTCTATCATATGTGCAGTCATCAATTCCTTTGCCATGGTGGCTTCAGGGAGATGATTCACCGTCTGAATCGATGGACGTCAGCAGAATGATAGAGACCCAAGTGAAACGTAGGTAGTACTCACCCCTTTGAACTTCGCATTGGTGTACGCTTCGACTGACTTGACAAACTCGTGATAGTAGGCTGGATCCTTTGTAAATTGGTCAATCTGCTGCTGCGAGAATGCCTCTCCTTGTAGCTCGATCTCAGTCAGAACACTCCCTTTCGGCGAGAGACTCATCCTCTCCAGGTGACTCGGTGCGATCCAAGTCGGCGACCGGATGAAGTGGATCAGCTTGCCAACCTCGGGTTGAATAGCTGGTACTATCTGGACACCGGAGGAGCCATTGCCAATAACGGCAACCGTCTTTCCTGTAAAGTCGTACTCTCTAGGCCAGTCTGCGCTGTGGATGAGCTGTCCTTTATACGAGTGGAGGCCCTTAATATCCGGCCATTTCCAGTTACTGGCATTTAATTAGTATACGGAGCCATTCAGTTATAGCCGGAGTCGATCCTTACTTGAGAATACCAGATGCATTCAAGAGAAAGTTGCAATGGTCGTCGATGATCTCTCCGGTCGCCAAATTCTTGACTTTGACATTCCATAAGCCGTCACCTTCGTTCCAATCCGCGCGAACCACCTGGTAGCCCAATTTGATTGAAGTTTGAAGTTGCTCTTCTTCGGTCAAAGTCTTGAGATATTTTTGGATTTCGGGGGCTCCGGCAAAGAAGGCAGACCAGGTGGGGTTAGGTCTCCAGGAGAACTGATAGTTGTGGGAAGGGATATCGCATTTGCAGCCAGGATATCGGTTTTCATACCATGTACCGCCCACTTCAGGGTTCTTCTCATAGACGGTTAATTCAAAATTCTCAAGGTGTTTTCTCATGCTTCGAATCATATTTAAGCCGCTTGCACCGGCACCAATGATGATAATGCGCACGTGGTCGCACGTGCCCAGCGGCTGTTCCAAAATGTCTTCTACAGAAGGAGGTTGTGGAGCAGAACTCCCACTAGCAGTGGTAGGCGATTCAAATTTTAGTTCTGAAATAGCTGAGTGCTTGGGGTGGACCAGGTCGTCGTTAGGAAACTGGACTTTGACAGCAACATCGGGCTGCTGCGACTCGACCTTGTTGGCCATCGGAATCTGTTCAACGGTAAGGGCCATCGTAATTCAAGTTCTCCAGCGTTGTTGAGCTGTTGTTCACCCCGGAGATGCTGTGCAGTAATCTACTAGATTTTTATTGCCGCGAGATATACCTGTGGCAGAAGTACTCCGTATCTCCCTGAATCTTGAGCACCAAGCCTCGGCCGAAGATGATCGCCACGTCCCCAGAGGTTTGATAGTATCATGCCATCCTGTCCAGTAGCCTGACGTTGGGCTACTTGTGTCAGGAGCCTCAACTTGATGTTGGATTGTGCCGATGCTTTCTCGAAATAACCGAGCTGTCTACCGAAATGTACCGAAGCGAATGTGCCGGAGTGAATGTGCCGAAGCCTCTAAAGGTTCCTAGCTCTCAGGTCGTAAGAAAGGGCGCCGAGCATACTTAAGTCTAGTGGAGGTGCTGTTTGGCAAGACCCCAAGACTAGCAACACTCGAACTATGATACCCCAGGAATACTCTGCATACCCTGGGTGTGAGCTATGGGGTGCTCCTGCTTCAGAATTGCCAGGAGAGACTGGGATAGACGCCAGTCAAGGGCTTGGCCCTTCAACAGGTACGAGAACAATCCAAGCCCTTGGCCATGCTGTCGGCGCTCGAGAGCCTAGGAACCAGAAGCTTAGAGCTGACTAATTTTGTACTATTAAAAGGGCCTGAACTCCCACGGTGGGCCTAAAGGTCAAGCACTGGTATGAGATACTGCTCCTCAGACTCCTACTGGTTGCCTTTGAGGCTGGAATATTTCCGGGAGCCACGAACCTACTCTCGTGCTGGCACCCGCGATATGAGTTGCAGAAGCGAAATTCCCTTCTTCTACCTTGTTTGATTTTCCGGGAGCAGGGCTATCCTGAGTATCATCCTGGGCTCTATGTCTCGTTCACCTGCATGTCACTGTTTATCATCTTATTGATCGCAATGGTCATGTTCTTCCACCACAAGAACAAATAGGCCGATGAGAAGGGTATTGAAATTGTAGGGGGGAAATCCTGAATTCCGATATACTCTCTAGATTCGGAGCAAAAGGGTGGTGTAGCGCGGTCTGAACCCTGGATGTTGAGATGACGAAGATCATTTCCCTTGGTGCGGGAGAGGAGGAAGTAATAGTAGGTAGGTAAATCGAAATCCCCTTCTGCATTGACTCAAACAAATATTCTGTACTTGGTGACTTGAACGACCAACCCTAGGCTTCGCTTCACCCCATAAGGGATCCCCAAAGGACGTGCTTGCCTGGTGCAACTCTACCTAGCGAGCACCCACTAGCAGTAGGAATATATGTACTCTTTGTCTCGGTGGCCAACGCCACCTGTTGCATGTCTGTTCCCCATCTGGACACCCGCCATCCTCTGTACTCCGTACTTTGCATGAACCTGACCTCGGCTCAATGTAGGCTCTAGCCATGCTTAAAGAGTGCTTATCTGGTAATCCGCGACCCCAGTCAAGTCAAGCTCCGTTTCTTCCAGGCGGTTCTGAAATCCATTCTTCAGGGTTAACCCGCTGAGCACCTGGCACCTCGCACTTCCGCCTTGCGCCTCCCCTTGCCCCGTTTGTCCCATGAGCGTCGGTGGTCTATTTTCATAATGCTTGACATGACACAACATCGTGATCGTGCACGAATTGTCTGCAAGGCTTGTCATGCCAGAAAGGTCGGTCTGTTCCATCGTGGGGGTTATTTCGAATGAGGCTCTGACATTTCTGAAAAGGTCAAATGTAATCTCGAGGATTCATTAAATGGTGCTTGCTACAACTGCATCAGGTACAGTGAAGTCTGCCAATTGAGAGAAAATGTACGTAGGAAAAGGCACAGGCGCAAGTTATCGACAGCCCTCAATGATCCTTCGTCCCAAGAAGACCAGTCTCCCAACACTGCACATCTTCCCTCCCCGAAAGGGCAACATGACAATGGCACTGTTCCGCCAGTCCACGCGCCCGCTGCATCCGTCATTTCGGAAACAGGCGATCGTTCCGGCTACGTGGGAGATGAATCTGCTTTGGCCTGCGGGCCAGACTCGACCAGCGAGATCCAAGCTCTGGAAACAGACACACCTTGTGGCTTGGATGAGATATCGCAGAACATGCTCCGAGTTAGTGGAGCCTTGTCACTTCCAGGGCACGTCATGACTCAAGCAATGATCGACCTGTATTACACCCACGCTTTCCATCGCATGCCTGTGATTGACAAGGCAGACTTACTCCCCGATGGCACCTCGGCCTTGCTCACCCACGCAATTTGTATGCTGGGCTTGCTTCTGCGACATCCACAGAACACATCGAACCGAATCCTGGCGTATCCGCATTACAGAAATGCTAAGATACTCATCACCCTCAACTATGAGCAGGACAATCGGACAGCCCTGAAAGCCATGTGTCTTCTGACCGCTTGGAGCATGCAGCCACCAAGTGGTGTCTCGCTTGACAGTCCATGGCACTGGAATGGAGTATCACTCAGACTGTCGCTGCAAATGGGCTTACACCGTGAATCGACGTACCGTGGCAGGGCTGATACACGTATCACTCGTCGAATATGGTGGACAGTATACGTGAGTCCGATCCGATCCGTTCCTACTACTCTTCGTCTTTCTTCAGTTAGCTTACGTAGCATCAGGCTATCCTCGTTCTCCAGGCGGCATGCTTTGGTCGGCCATTAGGCATCACTCTGGATGGCTTCGATGTCAACCTACCTCGGCCTGAAGATTTTGAAGAGCCAAATGACCAAGCTCTAGTCTTTATTGAACATTGCAAACTGATTGTGATCATGGCCCAAATTCTGGAGGCTAATGTTAAAAGGCGACGTCAACACTCTTTCGATGTCACGTATATCATGGTGGCACTCCAGGACTGGATCCGACAGGTGCCGGCACAATTACAGCTTTACGAGGGGAACAGAAGGAAGCCATATTACCGACTCGCCTGTGAACTCAATGTCATCTACTGCGTCTGCGTCATTCTGTTCTTCCGCATGTGTGCCAACGCATATCATCAGCCGATTGCCGACCAATGCAGTCTGATTGCTGCATCTCGCATTGCCCGGCTGTACGAAGAGATGGCCTTTAGGGATGACATCAACTTTCTACTACCCATCAACAACTACTTCGCTATGGTTGCTGGAGCGCAATTGATTGCAAGGTTGAAGTCGCTTCCCACCCCTTCCGAGACACTCAACGAGGAGGTAAAGATTATCAGAGTCAATATGCTGGAGAACATGAGCATCAAATGGCCAGCAGCCGGAGCTGTGCTCACTCGCTTGCGATACCTCGAGCAAGCATCTGTCCGAAGCACCAATCATGGGACTTCAGGTCCCAACTTCGACGAGGGTGGCACCGCCGCCCCCCTCAGCAATGAACAGTCCGACAATGTTCTCGCCTCGTTGTTTCCCTTTCCTAATACTACGTCCTCTGAATCGGAGCCATCGCAGACCTACGATCGAACCCCTACCATCACCGCTACAGCAGATTCTTTGCCCATGAATCATACAAATAGTAACGCAATGCAATGGATCTTGGGTGATGATTATCTTGACCTTGGAATGTTTGATATTGTATTCGAAGAGAGTCAGACTTGGGCTGATTTTCATACTTTGGCGGCTTTTTAGAAGCTGGGAACACGATGCTAATCATGAGAGCTAGTCAACGATTTTCGAGTCTATAAGAGCTTCTTGGAGTTAGAAGGTCAATCTCAACAGCTTCTTCTCCCATTCAGCCTTGCTGCTCCAGGAACTTGTTACACAAAAAAGAATTTATGGCATCAGACCTGAACTCTGGCTGTTGTTTGCAGGATATGTAATTTGTAGGTAATTGAGCTCGAGCGAAATCATTGACATCGGAAGCCTTCTGTTCGCAGGCTTTGATGACATCTAACCTTGACCCGCATCCGTTGATACGCGGGCCTGGACTTGAGAGACCAACATCGTCGACATAAATGGAGAGCCAGTCGCAGGATGCCCATCTAATGGATCCAGAAAATCGGCCTCGGATGCGACTGAAACAGCACGCCGAGAAAAGAGCCACCGCTTACTGTATGATGGATGTTGGCTTCCCTCTTTCAGTCTTATCGCAGAGTTTGTCTGCCTTTTAACTTGCTAATTGATGGTTGATGAGCATTGCGATCCTGCTCGCTTGGACTGGCTGGTCCTTCCCCTCAACAAATAGTCTTGGTCAACTCACCATATGAAACATTTACATCGTGGTCAAGATCAACGAGGTGAAGGAATCACCACATTGGGACCTCCAACAGGTGCTCTTCTTTGATAATCTTCTAACATCGGGACTGGTGGTGTGACGCAAGATGATGCAGTTGACTCGGATCTGGAGGGCACAAGAGCAAGAGAACAGAGACCAAGTGCAAGCACCGGGAGCAAGAACGACGAGAGACGACTGACACATCTTCTTGAATGAAAGACAGTGATATCTGCCTTTGAGCTGCTAAAGGTCTCTCGGATTTTCTCAATTCGACTTCCCATTCATGACTGGGGTCAAGACACCCAGTTAATCCGAAATCTATCATAAGTCATGAGATGGCTTGAGCAGCCTGCTGACTGTCATGTATGGCCCACACCAGCTTGCGCAATCTAGAGCTTTGCTTGAATTTTCCCACGAGCTAAGAGGAGTCAGTCTAGAGAATGGAGCGTCAGGGATTCAAAGATGGGGCCATACAACCAAGTTGAGCATTCTTCTGGAGGAATCTTTTGGTAGAAACTCCGTCAAGGAATTTTTCCGCCAGCGCATCGATCGAATCATAGACTGCCAGCATTCTTTCCCTCCTGAGCGGCAGGTTCTGTAATCTTTTCGTCTCCATCATGCTCTTCCCGTCGTTGACTTCCAATTGATCCTCCAGAAACTTGTGGACAGCACTGTGGAAGCCATCATTGGGGAAGATGAAATTGACCAGTCCCCACTCTTGCAGTTCTTCTACCGTGACCCGCCGACCGAACATGAGGAACTCGTTGCTTCGGCGAACACCAATGTGATGACTGAAAAGTGTAGTCGATCCGTTTTCTGGTACCAATCCCAGCGCGTTGAATGGAACCTGGAGCCAAGCTCCCTGGGCCGCGACGATGATATCCGCGACGCCTTCGAACCAGGCGGCACCGCCACCGACAGCGGGACCGTTCAGGGCTAGGACTAGGACTTTTTGATGGTCGACCATGGAACGAAGCATTTCCAACGCTGCTCTCGCCGAAGGGGGTGGTCAGCATTTGTCCCTTAGTACTGAGGTTGTCTGTGCCTTGTGATTGGGCCGGACAGTTCCCTTACCTGGCACCAAACCTGTCAGCGAGGCAACTTTCTTTTCAGCAAGACTTGCAGTCTGGACTGGCTTGCGAGCGGATATCGCTATAGAAGATCGGTTCAGTGCTGGATTGCCTGGAGAGTTGAGCTCAGTTGTTCGAGGTCTGCCTCACCCTTGACGTCAACCCCCGAGGAGAAGAACCGACCCTCGCCGGTGATGACAGTGAACACAGTATCGGGGTGTTGATTGAGCTCTCTCAGAGCGGTAATCACATCCATCATCATGGTGGTAGTGAAGGCATTGAGAGCCTTGGGCCGATTGAGCTGTCAAGAGTCAGGACAAAGCCAAACCTCGTCGGAAGAACGATCATTACTCGAATGGTCCCGATTCGGCCTTGGACTTCAACAACCACATCAGTGTACTTGTAACCCGAGGCCGCCATGGTTGTGGAGATTATAACTGGCACACAGATAACATGCAAAAGCAGTGTGATATTCCGACTTTTGAGGAGAAGTTGGACGGGACCAGTGGTGGCTTCGAAATGGCAGTCAACGCCTGTTCAGTGAGTGTGCATTCTAATTCTCCGTCTTTCTGACCCTCGGTACATTCTGGTATCATTAACGTGTCTGGGGAGAAAGGAGGGGAACCAGTAACCCCCCGTGGGGGGAGAGGGGCTGAATTTCTGTCCCCACTATTAGGGTATTCTGCCCGGATTTCCTACCTCACCAGGGACGGAATTCTGTCACCCCCTGGGTGCATGGATACTGTCCATGATAACCGAAGTCCAGTTAAATCTCGTCAAACAGCCGAGACCCAGTACGGCTCTGCTCCGGCCCCCTGCGGGGCCAGCGGTTTCGCCAGAACGACTTTTGCCGATCGTCTGCCAGTATTGGGAGATCCGTGCACAATTCGTCGCCAGATGTGGAAGCAAACCGCCGAGACTAAGCAAATGTGCCGAGAGACGGTGCCACCATTTCCACCACGAAATCTTTATTCCCACCACCTCAATCGTCCCATGCATCCTTACTCGGTATCGACCTAATCACACTGTCCAGCGATTTTTTTTTTTTTTTTTTTGATTCCACCATACATGTCGAGTAAGCGTACTTGTGACCAATGCTATCGAAGAAAGGTGCGATGTCGACTTCTGCCAAACGCTCCAGACTGTTTAGCTTGTAAGCGACAGGGCACGCCCTGTACGAATGTTCGGGCTCGACCACGTTCCGGACGACGACCAGACACAATCCTTTTCGGTAACAAAGGCTCTTGTCATGTGTTTGAGGTTGATCGCGCTCGACGAAGTGTCAATGGGGGCTTGCCAGGTTCGAGAAGCGCCACTAGTGAAGAAGTCTCTCGAAGGTTTCTAGTTGACTCTGAAATTCCGACCGAGTCCAACACCACCACAATGCGCACCAAGCAGCCCTTGGTGCTATCATTTATGCCCTCGCCCTCGTCGAAGCTGCAAATGCTTCCACTCAAAGAACTCTTCAATGTTCAATTATCGAGCCTGGGGGTTTTCTATCAGATCAATGACATCTTCATGATCGGTCCGAGTTTCGCCCAGGACTTTCACCGCATTCTTCGGAAATGCTCCTCGACTTCGAGGGCTGTGCGAGATGGCTTTCGCGCCATCTTCACAGCGTTGATATGGAGTAGACACAGGGCGGCCAGCTGGAGTGACATTGACATCTCCAGGGGGTCTTTGGCCCTGGAACGACTTAGAAACGCGCAACCATCGACCCTGGAGGAAGCAATTTCAATCGCTGTTCTTGGCCCTACCATTGCAGCATTCGACTGTTTGACCATGTGTTCCGGGGCACTGCTGGTTCTGCGCCACAGTTTGTCACTGATCAAACCATGGTATTCCCAAATGTCGCAAGACGCCGAGCTTGATCCCATTCTGATATCCCCCATCTTGTGGGACACGGTGAACTGCCTGGTCACCGGGGATGTTCCTGTTCTCGAATATCGATTTCGAAATTTGTATCTGGTGGACCGAGTGGCTGGCATGTGCACAACCTTGATGCCCATGCTCTACCAGCTCTGCCTTCTTGGTCACAAGATCAGGGACTCGACTGTGGAAGATCACTTTCAATCTCTGCGAACCTTGCAACGAAGACTGACGCTGTGGTCACCGGTGCTCCAACAAGAGTCACCGGGAAGGTTGACGGGCGACGATATTTCGGCCATGGTCTCCCAAGCACTCATGTATCGCTCCGCGAGCCTCCTCGTCATCCACAGGCTTTCAAATCCTCTGGGGACTGCTGATGCTACCGGAAAAGAGCTCGCTGACGGAATCATTGGGCTCCTTCAAAACTATCTGACTCAAAGAGGTCCAGAGTCAAAGCTGCAGCACGTCAATTTTCCCGTCTTCCTCGCCATGCTTGAAACCACCGAGGTGCCCAAAGCTATCTTCAAGGTACTGACAGTGCTCAGCGTCACATCAATTACTGAACTGAAGCTAAAGTCTGTCATCGATCGTGTTTGGGAGCAAAGGACCAAGGGATATTCGGGCATGTTGTATGATTTATTACGCAGTGGTACAGATTTTGTTGTTGTCCCATGATGTTCAATCTAGTTTACTAGCAGATGAGCCTGGTACAAACGCCAGAACTTGTCTTCTGCGTCGCATCTCCTGCTTGATTGCAGTTGTGACATGCCTTCATGACTTGGGATGTCGAAAAGACCATGAACCGAAACTGTCATGCTGGACACCCTTCTAGAGGTTCGTTCAGAGCGCCGCTTTTGTTCACGACTCATCCAGGCAGTGACATGTATAATTTCGAAAGGCGATTATGGGTGTTGCAAGCAAATGACCCTCTCCTTTCAGACAGAGCCCAATCTCGTAGTCCGAAAATGCATCCCCCTTGGAACTTGTCGGATCTCTCACTGGTTCTTCGCCTTGCCATTGACATATCGCATGCCCCTCGTTATATTCCCATACTTGGCCCAAAACATGTCCGAAAAGTAGCCACCGCGCCCAGTCCACGGAGCCACCGCCGCGGTTTTGGGCAAGCTTTTCGCCCCGACCGCCACGTAAGTCGAATTGAGGTTGAAGGCAGGAGAAGCGGTCAACGAGTCAGAGTTCGGCAAGTAGGGTTTCGCTTCCACGTAGCCCTTGCGTGACATTGACTGCAGCAGTCGACAGACAAAGTGTGCTGTGGCGTCGGCCCCCAATGTCCAAGACGCATCCGTGTAACCGATAACGAATGCGGCATTGGGGATGTCCTGAAGCATGACACCATTCCAGAGAAATTTGGTGTTGAGGGCGACTTGTTCCCCGTCGACTTCAAACTGGACGCCACCCCCCACACACAGCTTGAGGCCGGTGGCCGTGACGATGATGTCCGCCGGCAATTTCTTGCCCGAGGTCAGCTGGATGCCATCCGAGACAACTTCATGAATGACTCCCGTCTCGACCACTGCCTTTCCGGACCGGAGAGCGCTGTAGAAGTCTCCATCAGGGCAGACGCAGAGCCTTTGCTCCCAAGGAAGATAGCGTGGTTTGAAGTGCGGTTCGTAGGAGATGGTGAGAGGAAGCAAAGGTGTCACACTCTTCTCGATCAGTTGCTTGGCTCGATTGGGAAACCGTCGACAGTAGCCAACAAACAGTCGTGAGAAGATGATCCAGGAGAGTCGCTTCAGCTTGTAGTAGACAGAAGTTGGGAGGAGATAGCTCAGCTTCGACCGGCTCTGGTCCCGATTAGGCATCGGGAGGATATAGCTCGGACTTCTCTGCAACATGGTGGTGAGCTTTGCTTTCTTGGCCAGCTGAGGCAGGAGGGTGACGGCTGTCGCACCGCTTCCAATGATGACGATCTGTTTGTCCGCGTAATCCAAGTGCTCCGGCCAGAATTGCGGGTGGACGGTCTCACCCTGGAATCTGCCAATGCCTGGGATATCTGTCTCAAGAGGCGTGTGATAATTATAGTAGCCGGTGCCAAAGACCAGGAACCTGGCGGTGTAGTAGGCAGCTTCACCGTCCACGTTGACTGTCAAGGACCAGGCGTGGTGTTTTGACGACCAGGCGGCCTGGTCCAGAGAATGCTTGTAGCGGATGTGCTGATCGATCCCAAACTTTGCCGCCGCGTCTTTCATGTACGCCATGATCGACTCTCCACTGGCGATGGGATTCTCTTGTCGCCAGGGATACCATGGAAACCCAAACGTGAACAGATCTGAGTCGGACCGGATGCCGGGATACCGAAAAAGGTCCCAGGTGCCACCCAAACTCTGGCGGGCTTCGAGAATGGTGTATGTGCATCCTGGAATCTGGGTCTGCAGTCGATATGCCATGTTTATACCAGAGATACCAGCTCCGATGATGATGACATCAAAGCTGCCCCCGTTGGCAGACATACGAGAGTCACCCATGGTAAGACTTTGGGTTTGTGGTCGCGTCTCACTTTTCTTCAAGGTCAGACTCCCTCCGACGTTCGTCTTACGCAGTCGATGGGAGCGAGGTCTTCGTCCATGTTTATGGGTTTTGCAGGCGATGACACAGCCCAGCACTACGTCCTTGATAGCCGAGGATTCGGACCTTCACGCAACAGACCCCCGGCCGAGAACCTGTTAGTCGAAAGCTTGATGGTGGTGCTGTTTACGAAAATCTTCCGGCCATGTGAACGTACTCGTAGTGGCGAGACATGGCGACTCGTGCGTTTGTCAACACAGATAGTCGAAACAGAACGGGGCCGAGCTACCCAAAACAGGAAGCAAACCTCCGCGACATGCCGAAAAGGGGCTTGACAAGTCTTTTTGGTGGAGACACGGGCGATCATCTACCCACCCCCGCGGCATACGCCTTTCGCGTTCTTTTCGTCAAGAGCGCACGAACCTAGGTAGCAAGTAGATGTATGTATATGGACAGTAACATATGTATTGGGCGCAGCTTCCCAGCATCCGAGCACTGCCAGCTAGGCGATTATTTGGCTGGTCAACACGCGTGCAAAATGTCGAGCCTTATCGATAAGCTACGCATCCAGAAAGTCCTGGACCACTCGGAGAGTCTAATCAATCGCCTGCCAGGACTCCTTCAAAGGGTGCTTCGATCACCTGTGGCGCAGAAAGGCTTTATCGCTTGGATAGTCTGGCGCGTTCTCAAAAGTGCCAGCAACAAGTATTCGCAGCTCAAAGTCAATAACTTCACTCTGCAAAAGCCTTGGGACCCAACACGGGAGTTGGTAGTTCTAACGGGGGGAAGCAGTGGTATCGGCTACTGCATAGCTCAAGATCTGGTGGCGATAGGACTGCGGGTGGTGATTCTCGATATCCAGGAGCCATTGAGAGGACTGCGTCTGTGACCCCCTTCTGCAACATGTTTTTTTTTAGCCATACACGCTTGTCAGCAGGCCAGAAAGCTGACCATCTTCTCCAGCGACAAATGCCTACTTCTACCGGGTCGATCTCACCTCAAGCGCAGATGTCAAGAAGGCCGCAGGA